CTGTATGTAACTAATTACAAAAAAAAATCCCACAACTACCACACAGGGCACCTCTAGTATATGGCTGTCACTGAGTAGAAAAGGTTGCGCTGAATCAAAGTTTACACCAAATCCAGCTCCAACCTGTCTCTGTTCCGTTCAGAGCTGATATGGACTCAACAGAGTCAATGCAGTCAATTGCATTTATGATAAACTGAAGTGCAGACAGGTAGAAAATGCACATGTTATTAGGGCCGCTCGGCGGCCGCTGCCTCTCCTCCGTCTTTCTCTCCTCTACTCTCTCTATCCTGTGGGCTCTGCACCTCAGCTGTGTTGCATTCCAGTAATTAGCGACTGGTTTGTTGAGGCGCACAGCTGGGGTGCATCCCGATGATTACCTTCTCTTTACTTACACCTCTGTCAGACGCTTCGTCGTCGCCGGAACATTAACTATGTACCGCATAACATACATGTTGGTAGAATGCTACGCTGACAGACACTGTGCGTTTTGGCTTGACTCTACCACACTACCTACACGCTACGCTGATTTACACTACACTACATATTTTTGATGTAGTGTAGTGTTGTGTTCTTTTTATTTACCTGCTACCGTCATGTTTTTCCCCCTAGCACCTGGGTCTGCAAACTTGAGTCCAACCTCATGTGTTATTATTCTGCATCCACATGTTCCATTTAACACACAACAAATGACTGGAAACATATTTTAAGCAGAGTGAAAATGAAGCTAATAAAGCTTCTTTTTTTTTTTTTAATCTCAGCCACGAGCCCCTAGTATTTAGCGATTTCTGGGCTTTGTACTCTGAGTAACAGTTAACAGGCTGATTCTTATTTAAGAGCTCATTTCAGTCTGCTTGCTAGCTTCTGACAGCTCAGACATTCATCAAATGAGGCCGCATTGTAATAGAATTATATTCAGGAAAGATTATACCCAGGCTTTCTGATGATAACTTTCACCATCTCTCAGAGCAGAGCATTTGTCCCCTCCTTTCCTTTTTACTGTCTATAGACCTCTGTGATTCCTTCACAGCCCGATTTTCTTCATCATAGTTCCTCAGGCGGGGTTTCACTGATTTGTTTCCCATCTAAATTTAACTGTTACCTGGACCTGCATGCCAAGTAGACACATGGCCTCTCATCTCGGCCATTCAGCCATGTATATGAGGGCTCCATGTTCTACTTTTTACAGCTCATTTACAGCAGATGAATGCAGAGCCTGTGTCACATCAAAACCAGCATGTGGCATTTAAATGTAGCATTGGTGCTGCTTGGCTTAACACAGATCCACTGTTGCACTCCTTTCACTAACTAAACAGTGGTACTGTAAGTAAGTATCTACCCTGCATCTGAATGTGACAGTACTGGGAGATAGTTTATGACCCTGCATCTGAATGTGACAGTACTGGTACCAGTATACTGTTTTCCACTGGGTGTTTACTCACTGCATGATTCAGGTCTAGTGTCATACACAATACAACCACAATACTAAAGCATGCGTCCAGCTCCATGCAAGCTAATGTTCATTTTTACATATACTCCAATTGTCTTTTTAATTTTGCAATTATTGTATAATAAGCAGAATGGTCAAATAATCAGATAGCCAAGTCACGCTGATTTACAGACAGCTGGTATATGCAAATGATACTCTGCATCTTTGGAATATCAACTTGAGAATGTTTGGCTTCCTAACACAAAAACTCCAAACCTGCAAATTACAGAGAATTATTTCAGCTTGCCAGCAGGCAACGACACACAGGACTAATGGAGTTTCCAGCATTTACTAATGAATCAAAGTGTATAATTACTCATATTTCATTATAATCTGCATCAGCTATGTTGAATCAGCACAGAAAATTAAGTATTAAAAGACTGCTCCTGAATTCTGTGATGGTGTTCAGAAACTAACATAAGCAGTAAGGAAAAGATGAAAAACTTCATTTTGTGGCAAAGCTGTGGATAAACACATTAGTGAGAGTTTGAAAGACAAAATGCCCACCAAACATCTTTGAAACAGCTAGATATTTGATGAAACAACAAAATGTGTTTTGTATCAAGAACAGCAAAGACTGTGATATAAATTTAAAGGTGCATTAACTATGATTTTACACATTGTCTAATAAATAAAGGAAGAGTTTTCCAGCCATGGAGGAGCTCTCAACAGCTACAAGTCAGACTGCATCAAACAGACATGATACATCCTCTACAAACAATGGTAGCATCCATATATCATAAATTGCTTAACTGTCAGTCTCAGTTCAATTCAATCCAATTCAGTTTTTATCACTTCATATTGTGTCACTACAGTTCTACTGCAGAGTCGGCTCTCGTTAGTCAGCTAATGTTAGCTTTGGACTGGAGGCAGCCTTTTGTACAGTTTGTTGCAACCAGACATCAGTAGTTCACTTATAAATTTGTGATAATAGGACATGGATGGGAGGGGCAAAGAGAGGTAAGGAGTGATTTATGGTGTGAGTCTAACCAGACTCTCTGGTGGTCAAAAATCGCAATTTAGGCCTTTAATGAAGCTATGATTATGTGTTTCCTGTAATAAATAAATAAATACCAATCCACAGCTACATAAATCAAAATGTCAAATTTTTAACATAAAACAAACAAAACAAAAAAAAATGTAAACATGTATGTATGGTTTACAGACTTTATGGGATCAAATAAATATCCAACATTAGGTTTGTCACAGCTTGATATGAGGCTGTTTAAGCTACTTAAATTAAGCATATGTATGTGAGAAATACAATGTTTATTCAATGAGTTTTTCATAAATTCTGTTGAATCCCTCCCATTTTTCTTATTTTACTGACATACTAAAAACACAAACAGACCACTTTATATAATCCAGATTTATATAATGTGCTACACAGCTGTCCCTGTCATGATGATCTAAATCAGTCACCTTGTCTTCTCAGACCTCCAGGGATTGACCCATGCACTGTCCACTACGTGAATGTATGGGTTGTGGTATTAAACTGACATGGAACATCAGATTGAAATCTCCAGGGAATAGATCCGTTTGTCACACAAGTGATGCAAGAGCCAATGACAAAATGTTTTTTGCACTTGAAGGAAGTAACCCTGATAAGCAGAAAGGAAGAGAGGATATAGTATATTTTAGTACAAATGACTCCCATAGCCAGATGATAATGTGATGACAGAGCACCCAGAGTATTTCCTATCACTGAGAAATGGGGTGAGATAAATGAGAGAATCTGTGCTCTTAAAAATTAATTGCAGTCTACAGTAATAACCTTTCTGCAGGCAGGCTCCGTGGGAAGCTGTGGAAGCACAGGGGAGCCTTTTTAGCTGGCTAGGGTATTCTCAAGTCTCCTTAGGGGGTGAGCCCAGAAATGGCAGGAAAAGGCTTTGGTAGCACATGCTGACTGGTGCCGAGACAAGCCAGCTGTCCAGGCCACTTGGCAGCAAGGCATCTCTAAAGCACAGCAGCAGGCGAGTGGAGAGTGGTTTGCTCGCCTGTCATTAAACAGCTACTCAGGTCACCAGGGTTAGTCATCAACCTACTTGCATGTTTTACTTTTTGGAATTTTCATCGTTTTAGGTTTTGAGAGTCTGGAGGAAAACTGGTCTCTTTATTACTCACCCCTAGTTTTTTGAGGTGTTAATTTATCAAGTACACTTGTTCTCCTTTTGAAGATGTAACAGCACTCAGGCATTACATCAGTTAATCTGTTCCCCCTGCTTGTCAGCCTGGTTCTTTTTCTCTGCCCTCTTAACTCCCATTCTCCCTCTTTCATTTGGGAGGGGTCTCACGAGTCTCTGCTGCCATTCTCTGGAGGTCATCCTCTCCCATCTGCTCCTTACTACAGACAGTGGGCAATGTGGCAGCAGGTCAGTTCATTATTGCCCATGCTGGGCCCACAGTAGGCATTGCACTGTGGAAGGTCTCAGCTGTCATACGTAGCTAGCCATCAGCAAGCTGTTTTCCCTGAACTGAGGAGGCTGGGAATCATGTCTTTATACATATTTTGGAGAAATACAAAGACAAAGAAAGACAAAAAATATGGAACGTATGACGTGATTCATAATAAAAGAGTGGTCAGGTCATAGTATGTGGTTTTGGCTATCCAAACAAACCTTGAAAAAAGCTGTTTAGTTTATGAAAAGGTAACATTTTTGCGTATGCCATTCAAACTTACTCTACCAGCTGGACAGAAATGGCCAAATTCATGTATTTTCTCAGCACAAAGTAAGAATTTAACATTTGCTTTACCTAGAAAAATATGTAAATCAATTTGGTCTTACAGTACAGTCAAATGTTCCAGCAGCTCTTTACAGCAGAGGTTCTCAAACTGTGAGGCACAGCTTCTGAAAGAGCCAAAGAGCAAACTTTGTCCTATTGACGTATTTATTGATAAGCCATTGGTTAGAGAACCAGGCTCCTCAGCTGTATTCTGCAAGGGTTAATTACAGTTGATTTACTGCTATGTTATATTGAAGAGAGGAGCATTTATTGATTTTAGATCAATCACTGTTCAGCCCCCCAGCCCAAATAAAACCTGACAACATCCACTTCTGCCTTCTAATAGGTGATTTTGAGTTCCTTATTTTAAAAGGAAGACTGAAAATCTCTTTTGTTCACCAGTCCATAATGCTGTTGAATCAAAACCAGGGTGTGGTTATGTAAGATCTGTATCCAGAGACTATGAAACCATGCTTTAGTGCTGTTGTTTGCTAATTTGTTGCTGTTATTGTTTGTTTTTGCTTTGCAGATGCTTTGTTTTGCAAATGAATTTTCAGATTTTATCTGATACTAAAGTGTCAACTTATCCTATCTTATCCAGCCACTGTTTTAGCAATAGAGCAAACGTTCTCACTGGAAGCTGTTGGTATTCAACCAGTACTGAATAAATAACACACAGCCATGATACATATCATTATCTCCATTGTGACAAAACAGATCCTACCATTACCTCTCTCTTCAAAATAAATCAAGACAACACAGCCATCAGCAATAGGTCATCTTGACTCACCTTTTCCTGGTACTGCCGTCGAGATGAGTCCAGAGATTGGATTAGTGCAGTCGCATGGCCCACAAACATGGCATAGCAGGTAGCACCTACGATCATGCTGAGGATGGTCAGCCACACATCTGTCATGCCCACCGGGGGGTACATGCCATACCCAATACACAGCATGTGACTCATAGCCTTGAAAAGTGCGTAGGAGTACTGCTGTCCCCATGTGTCATTCTGGATGAAAGAGAAGACACAGGGTTAGTCAGGGTGAGTACACTGAAACATCTTTCTATCTTGGTTGCTCTGTCTCTGTCTAATAGGGGTGCTGATGGCACATTAAAGGTCAATGAGCACTCTGACACCTACACACATATACACACACATCCAATTGCTTAAGACAAACCTAATGGCAGATGTCAATTTCACCCAGTCTTAGTTCAATACAGAACAGTTGGCAGGATAAAGCACACTTCAATATGCAACCATTTGGAGCAAGCAGACTTTTGGGCAGGAGCCTAAAACAGAGCCCTGAGAATGGGCTGATGTAGCATGAGACACCAGAGGCTTGCATGACATAAAGTAGGTCAGCTATTTAGAAAAAAAAGTGATTTCTCTGTGAATTCTTCCATTTGTAGATAAATTGCTGCTTTTCCTTTGGATCCTGGTGATAGTTCATAACAAATCAATATCAACGCTCTCCTGGGGGTGGCATGTCCAAATAGCTTTCAACTCATTTCCACAGTGGAAAAGCAGAGGAAGATAGCAATTTTATTTGTGCCCTCCTGAAAAGGTAAGGAGTGATGACCCAGCATGTAATGGAACAGCTACAATAAAAGATGACAAAAATGTCTCTTATGATTCTAATTAAGGCCAAACTGACTGAGATTGAGTCTGTCATCGTGAACAACTTCCTTTGTCAACCAGGCAATGTGAGCAAACTATGAGGATCTTTCCATCAGAGAGGGACCTACCCCTGAGATTTGAATTCATTCAGAAAAATGTATTTGTTATTCGGTCACAGTGAGAACCATTCTTCTATGTAATGCAATTAATTAGACAGTGTTTACTGTGTGAGACAAAACAAGTCAGTTTTGATGAGAGGCTACAAGCTAAGTACATTATGAGTGTTCTTCCTTGCATCTCAGAGCCTGTACTTGCAAGAGGTTGTTTGGGTGCTGCAGTCTGGGGAAACAGCCAGTGGAAGTTACAGAAACATGACTGAGCTGTAACAACATGAGAAGATGTATAAAATGTCTAAATATAATCTAGTCAGAAATGCATGAAATTGTCTTGTGACAAGGCATTTGGTATGTGAGCCTTTATTCCAGAGATGCTGAGATGCAGATGCTAAAACATTTAGAATGTGGGAGACTGGATTCTTCACTTTTAATGGTAGTAAAGGTAAATGTGGGGCTTGTTATTAACAACATAAGTAGTGGCTACATTTCTCTGAAATTGTAAACATATAAACAAAAAACTTAAACTGCCTTATGTAAGTTAAGAGAGTTCATTTTCAAGTTGGCTCTTTCTGTATCAAATTAATGGGAAAATGCATCTTTTCCAGGGAACAGAAACTGTGAGGTGAAGAGAAAAAGTCTGCATCTATTTGAATGAATAAATATATGTTTATCACTTATCTTAATGCCTATTAATCCAGATAAATATAAGACAAAGTGGTTGTTGCTGGTTTGACCCAAGTACTGACATTTTCCCTGACCTCACCTGTGTGTATATACAGTATTTATCTCTGCACAGACTGTTACAAAAAACAAGCTCAAAGTGTCTGTGTGAAAAATATTGAGGGACAGTGGTTTGTAACATCTGTCGTTTCTTGCTATTAAATATAAGAGAGGCAAATTCTGTGAAACAAGTGAGCATGTCAGGGAGGCAGTGAGGCATGATGAACCAAATCCATCATACCTTGAGCGATGTAACTACTCATGTGACATCTGTTCTGGCACACAGAGCCGAACAAACAGCTGACTAGATGCTGTTTTATGTATAACCCAGATTAGCTTTTTGAACGTGCTGTTCTGTTGTCTGTTATCCCATAGTTAATAACTGTAATATTCTGTCTTTGACTTGAATTATTAAGGGACTTTTAAAAAGTTATTTTAGCATTTAATTGTAATGAAAATAGTGTTATGCACTGTGACTGAGATTGGCTGTGATCATATCTGAATGTAATAAGCTGACAGAGGAAAACCTGCTATGATGAAATTAGTTGCCGACCTCACAAAAGCCCAAACATTGCCTTATGGACGCTCACATTGATAAGCCATCAGCTAGGCAGCCACTCTTCTCAGCTGCATTGATTTATTGTTTTGTTACACTGAAAAGAGCAGCTTCAACTGATGTTAGATCAATCCCTGTTGAGAGTCCCCCATAAAACCTGACAATAATTCAGATTTCTTTGAAGTTTTTTGTTTGATTGTTTGTTTTGTTTGCTGTAACATATTAACTTAACATGAGGCCATCAGCTACAGGTGATTCAGAGTCACATCAGGTGTGACAGTCTGTGTCCATAGGCAAATAATAGAGAACTCTATTATCAGTCAGACTTTAACAAAGGCTCTGCTCCAGTACCTGTTTTAACAATACTGCAAAATTAAAGCACAGCATGAGTGCTCACTGGGAGCTGTCAGTATTCAGCCAATATTGGACATGGGTCCTCTGTCCTCTGCAGGAAATCAATGCTCCATGCACAGACTCAAGGTCTCTCTTCTGTCACAATAGGGACAGATGTCAAGAGTGCCAAATAAATAAAAAATAATCAGCAATTCAAATAAAGGTGGCCAAATGTATCAGATAAATATAGCTGATTTAGGGTTTAAAATGACAAATATGGTAAGTAATCTTTGCCAGGATTCTTAAGGGTTTCAGTGCAGTAATTACTAGAGCTGATGAATGAGATAAGACAGCGCATGATCTGATTTGAACATGCAAGAGGACTCAGTGCAGGAGAAGCACTTACCACCATCTTATTTTTTGATACCCAACAGTCAGCAGGGAAGTCCTGCAGCATGGGCACCAGGAACTGCAGGCAGCCATCCCAGTGACACAGCAGCAGCATCATGCCGATCAGGTTCACTATCCTCACCATGGCGCTGGCCAGGTCATAAGTCATGTGAAAAATCTGAGGGATGGGAGAGGAAGGAAGGAAGCAAGCAAGAAACGTGTTATGATAAGGATGACTCAACACGCTGATGGTCAAATCCCTGAAATAGATTCCAAAGCATACACAAGACTTGAAGGGAGATTTTCATCCTCTACAAGCAGTTCAATGACTTCTGGGTCTGTTCTCTGATCACGTCATGCACAAAGTTTGTGGTTTAGGAATTAGATGGCAATGTATGTACTGTAGCCTGTAAACCATAGCTTTCTGCATATACTGTAGTTCAGCTAGGGGGTGCAGTCCACTGGGAATGGCCAGCAGTCTGGGACCAGAGCTTTACCTCCCCTTCTGCTGTATCTCTCTTTTCATCAACCACTCAACCAAACACAATAGCGGTACAAGGGTGGAGCTGGCTGTTCTCCTGGGATGAGAGCATTCACAGGCTGGGTTTGTTAATCCTAATGATAAATACACTCATAAGGCCCTCCAGGACTTCTGAGCTGTTGTAGATTTTAATGGTCTCAACCATTCAAAGCCACTTTAATCCCACTGAAGACAACAGTGTGCACTGCTAACCACTCCAACCCAGTCAGTGCTTTTTAAGGGGCTTGTGACTGAGGGGGGATCTTCCATCTTCACTCTTTGTTCAGCAGTATAGTAGGTGATGATGATGAGGAAGATAAAGTCATCTTTGTCACCTACAGTTGAATCTGAGTCCTTGTTCCTGAAGAACTGGGCTTGTTTATTTTTGTTTCCAGAGTGTATATCTGTGTATTTTCTCCAGGCTGTGTTACGTCCGTGACCCAGGCCGCCCCCTATACCTCGGTAGCAGGCACAGGTAGTTCCAGCAGCTCCGCCCCCGCACAGGTGAGGGTGCATTCCAGGCGACGAGGCACACCTGCTCTCCATTATTGTCGCCAGATTATTATGTGTTATCCTGTTGGTAACTGCGTTTCATGTTCATGTCAAGGCCTCAAGTTTATGGACCATTGTTTGATCTGCGCTCCTTTCGCAACATTGTGAACTCAGCTACCAGCGCTGCCTCATCAGGGGACCCACACACCGAACCCGAGATCTCTGGCACCAGTCTCCCCCTCCCTGGACTACTCCCTGGGCCTGCGGTGCACTCAACTGTTCAGGTCCCCAGAGTGACTACCAGAAACAATCTATACCATACCTGCTGCTTGTTCTTAAACTCTCTCTGTGTTCTTATTTAGCGAGCAACGCCTCTCATTCACCCCGGGAGACAGCAGTCCAGTCAACTCAGTGTGCCCAGCTGCCCCAAGATCAGCGGACGAGACCGGCTCTGTTTTGTTTGTTTTCATGGAGCATTAAATATGTTTTTCTTGTCTAGCCTGGGTTCGAATCTGCATATTTACTGGGTCCTAAACAACTCACACACAGCTCGGCGTAACAGGCTGGTAGGGACCACTGTCATGTTTGTCTGGGATGGTTTGTCTGTGAGTGCTGCTGCACCATCAAATCACATCAATTGAACACCATCAACAGGCTAATATGAATCCAGAGGTATGTCTAGGAGAACTTGCCTGGGCAAGGAATGGGGCCAGGCTCTCTCAAACTGGATGAAGACATCCCCACTCATGCTCTCCTTCCCCCTTTTTTAGGCTCTTGTTCAAAATGTTTAGCCTTGAGCACTGTCGCATTACCTAAGATGACTAATTCGCCCAGCTGCACCTTTTTTCCCATTCATCCCATCAAATTCCCTCTTTTTCTCAACTCCTCTTTACAGCTGCATGTCAAATATGAGCTATTGTTTGTTTTTTAGGAGCCAGTCTTTTCTTTAAACACAGCGATAAATAGGTTATGTTATCTAATATGTGATGCTGTGTGATGTCAATTTTCCTGCTACAGCTATAATGGCCTTCAGTAACATTAAAGTGTTGTAGTCACTCTGTGGCAAATGAATAAATCATGAGATGCCCATTTCCATCTCCCACACTGAGCCTGATATAGTTTTTCTTTGTGAAATCATATTTCCAGACAGGAAAGGGGACCTTTATAAATCAACGGGTGTTTTTAAATCTATAAAAATGTGTAAGAATAAACCCAATTTACAGAAAACTTGGGACATTTTTCAAAATGCAATAAAAACTAAAATCAGTGATTTGTTAATTCAATTCAACCCTTATTTAACTGACAAAAATACAAAGAAAAGGTTTTCAGTGTTTTCACTTGCCATCATAATTGTCTTTTATAAATATAAACAAATTTTGAATCTGATGCCTGCAAAACAATCAAAAAAGCTGACACAGAGGCTAAATAAGTAAGTTTACAGACTTTTCCAGTAATACTGTTCTGGAAGATTGCAAAATTTGCAGGGTACTTGGGAAAAGGTGAGGGTATCTTGATTTGGTATAAAAGAGGCATCTACCAAAAGCTCATTTTTGCAATCAAGGATGGGTTGTGGCACTACTTTGTGCCACACTTTGTGAGAGAATTTTCAGTCAGTTCAAAAAGAATATCTCTCAATGCACGGTGCAAACGATTTAGATTTTTCACCATTTACAGTGCATAATATTGTGAAAAGATTGAAAGAATCTAGGGAAATCACAGTGAGCTATAAAGAGCAGAAACCACCGTTGAGCATACAGGGGCCCTCAGGGGCCACTGCATGAGAAACTGTCATGCTACCGTGATGAATATAGCCCTGTGAGCTTAGGAGGATTTTGGAAAATCTGGTCACTTAACACAGCCCACTGCTGCATCCAGAAATGTAACCCGAAAAGCTATTAAACAAGGAAGAAGCCATAAAACAGTTCGGTGCAGAAATGCCGCAGAGTTCTTTGAGTCATAGCACATGTCAGAGGGACCCAAAGGTGATGGAAACATGTTCTGTGGTTAAAAAAGTTCACGATTCAGATTGCTTTTGGGAAAAGTGGACTTTGGGTTTTCCATGTCAAAGATGGAAAAAGACCATCCAGGATGTAATCAGTGAAAGGTACAAACACCTGATGTGATGTATAGGGGTGCATCAGTGTGTTAGGTATTTTTAGTCAGATAGATATTGGATAGATACTTTATGTATTAGAAATGTTTAGTGGAGATAGGATGTCTAGTTAGACTGTTAAATGCTTAGTCATACTTATGAGTTTCTACAGGGTACATCTGGTCAAGGATAACTAGAGAGAAGAGTTGATGACTGTCAGCAGACAGGGTGTTTAATATTATTATTATGACATGTATAACTGTAGCCTTAGCCATAATATGTTCTTATGTTTAAGTCACGACATGTTACTAGAGGTCGTGAGAATGTTTTTAGCTACACACCACTTAATCAACAGACACACACA